GTTCATAACTCATGAGTCCTGACACACTGAGGGGGAAAGCTGGGGAAACGAAATGATTTTCAAATGCTTCAAGCCCATTTTCTAGTCGAGGATGGTACAAGGCACAGGTTTAACGACTACTGGGTGATGTCTGGCATGGAGATGTGGAAAGAGATGACAGAAGCTGGGTCTCTTGCTTCCAGGTAATAGTTTCTCCAAGAAGCCTTGTCCTAGAAGTTATTCATCCTTGTACACTTCAGCATGACAAACAGCTGAGCGTGCTGAGACGAGCCAGCAGGCAAGCCCAGCAGAGGGGTGAATATAGCCTGCACTAAAATGCCTTTAGTGAACTGAGCATTGACATTATGCCATCGGATTGCATTGATTGGTCTTATAAGAAAGAATACTTTCAGGGGCGCCTGGGTGGCTCAGTGGGTTACGCCTCTGCCTTCAGCTCAGGTCATGATCTCAGGGTCCCAGGATCGCTCAGGTCATGATCTCAGGGTCCTAGGATTGAGCCCCGCATCCAGCTCTCAGCTCAGCAGGGAGCCTGCTTCCCCCCCTCCCCATGCCCACTCGTGATCTCTCTCTCTGTCAAATAAATAAATAAAATCTTAAAAAAAAAGAAAAAAAGAACACTTTCTGCCCCAACTCTATAGTTGTTGTTTTTAAATTTTTTATTATTTATTTATTTTTTAAAAATATTTTATTTATTTATTTGACAGACAGAGATCACAAGTAGGCAGAGAGGCAGGCAGAGAGAGAGGAGGAAGCAGGCTCCCTGCTGAGCAGAGAGCCCAATGTGGGGCTCGATCCCAGGACTCTGGGATCATGACCTGAGCCGAAGGCAGAGGCTTTAACCCACTGAGCCACCCAGGCGCTCCTGTTGTAAAGGACTTAGTCTGCATTCTATATGGCATAATTCTTTTATAAGAACCCCCAGTAAGTCAGCCAATAAATATTTATTGAGCATTTACATGCCAGATACTATGCTAGTATTGGGAAAAGAGTAATGAACAAAGGAATCACATGAATAAAGCTTACAAGAGAAGACAGATAAAATTTTTTCTTAGTTTTCTGTGTCAGGTAAAGCTGTCGAGCTCCTGAGCAATCTTCCTTCTTTACTCTGGCTACTAGGAAGCAGAAAGCCTTTTTTTTTTGGCTCACCTCTAGCAATTCAATAGGACCTCATGGAATGAGTTGCTAAATAGAACCACATCCTCGGCTTCATGTTATGTTCCCTTTGATCAGTTTTCTTGTATTTATCCTTGTGGGCCATCTCACACCCTACTATCTTTTTCTTCCTTCCTTTCTTTTTTTTAAATAGGGGGCTATAATTAAATAATAATAGAAGAGCCCAGTAGATACTTGGGATCAGAGTTCAGGAAATTCTGATGATTAGATGTGGTTTCTGGGAGTAAATCTGATGGAAAAGGTATACTAATTAGAGTGACAGCAGTCCTGGCTGTGTGGCTGAGGGGCCAGAGGTTATGAGAGAGCAGCCCAGCCAGTGTGTTAATAAACAAGGTCAGGGAAAGGTGTGGGTGGTGAGATCCTGGATACCAATGTGGGGGGCTGCCCTGGAGCTCCTTCTGATCACTGCCTGGCTAGATCCTAGAATTTAAAGGTGGAAACTCAAAAGCAAAAGCATTGCTTTAAGGGCAGGTGGAGAATAAGGCACAAAGACAAAGCATGAATGAAACCAAATCTATAATTAGGCAGTAAGCCACCGGGTCAATTTGGAATTTTTGGTTGTAAGTAACACAAATGAACTCTGACAAACTTAATGGGAAGGAGGGGACATTGGTGGATGCATTTGGAGTAGCTCACAGGATCTTTAAAAACAAACAAAAAACCCTCCAAGTTCAAAGGTTTAAAGACAGGGCCCCCCTGAAAGGGTAATGGAGCATCTCCCTAGGGCTTCACTGTTGGGATGAGGGCGCTGCAACTGTTTTCTATTTTTCTGTCTCTCTGATGAAGATTCCGATTGCCTGCCACATGAAACCAGCTCAATACGTAAAGAATGAATGAATCGGGATGTCTGGGTGGCTCAGTCGGTTAAGTGCCTGCTTTGGGCTCAGGTCATGGTCCCCGGGTCCTGGGATGGAGCCCCTCTTTGGGCTCCCTGCTCAGCAGGAAGCCTGCTTCTCCCTTCGCCCTCTCCCTGCCCTTGCGTATTTTCTTTCATTCTCTCACACTCTCTCTCTAAAATAAACAAAATATTAAAAAAATGAATGAATGAATGAATGAATGACCGGAACTTTCATGGACAGAACGTTTAACTTGCTGAGTTTGGGTCTCATACATGCCCCTTGGGAAGAGAAGAGGAATACTTTGGTCGAAGTTCCCACGAAAGCCACACTCAATGGGGTGGGGTTGTTCAGACGCTGTTCCCAAAGGAAGGGAGAATGGATGGGGTCAGGTAGAACCCAGAAGGATGCCCTATACAGGTAGCAGGGAAATGGCTGGTGGGCTCGAGGAGGTGGTGTCACTAGCTGTGGCAGGGGACATCTCTTTGTCCAGTTAGCTTGTCCCTGATGTCTGGAAGGAAACACTGCTAGAAGAAACTCCAAGGCTTTGTTTGCCAATCTTGTCTTTATTCCCACACTCACTTAGATGTGCTCTGCTAGTATTCCATTTAGGAGTTTGATGTGTATATCAAGCAATGAAAAGGACCCATTTCCTCCTCTGAAATTCCCTTCTAGTTATTTTCCCCTTAGAATGAATTGGAGGGAAGTCTTCACTTTTTTTCTGTTCTCTGGAAGAGTTTGTGTAGGATAGAAATTATTTAGCTCTTGAAAATGTGTTAGAAAATCTGATAAAGCCCTCTGGGCCTGTTGGTTTTCTTATGGAAAGAGTTTAAATGGCTGCTTCATTTCCTTAATAATCATAAGACTATTCAGGCTATTTCTTTTTTTGACAATTAAGGCAAGTGTGGGGTTGTTTTTTTTTTTTTTTTTTTGAACTTAACCATCTTATTAAAATTTTTAAACTAAATTAAGTAGAATGGTTATCTCTGGAGATTTTGGGCTCTGTAAACGGCTCTTGAGTATTCATTATGTTATTTAAAGTCGTATAAAATAGAAAAGGGCTACCCTTGGACTAATGACGGTATGTTTTCAGTCAAGGGTATGATTAATCCAATTCTGTGTGCTTAAGCTCCACTGAAAATGCATATTTGTTGAGAACCTGAGTGAGTCAATCTTTCTTGCCAGGGGCAGATATATTTCCCAAAGGTGAATCTCGCAGGGCCCCCCCATTACACTGACAGGCTGGGCTGGAAACTATCCAGATAACCCAGCCTTATATTTTTTCCCAATCCTGATTATGGAGGAAGGTCTTGGAAGATTTCTCTGCCCTACTACACAGGCGGGGTACTGGGCCCACAGCACCCCTGGATATTAGGCCCCTATTTGTCTAGGATTAGGCAAAGGTCACCGTAATTTTCTAATAGTGGTTCCTTTCCACAACACAGGCACCAAAGAAAAGACTGAAGGAGCATTCTGGCCCAGACCGCATTGCAGTGAACTAAGCAACAAACTGAATGAAGGACAGCCCAGTGGCATGACCGGCTCCCCTGCCAATGAAATTATTATGTGACTTATTGTATGTTTGGGACGTTCCTATGCAAAAAAAGGATAAATGGGTTAAAATGAAAAGAATTTCTGAACAACTGTGGGCAGGAAGATAGTATCAAGTCCTAGGATGTCATCAGTTGTAACAAAGTTTGGAATTAATCATGACACCATGCAAATTGGCAAAATATTTGCAAGCCAGGAGAGGGTGGAGATGCCGGAAGCTGGTAATTTATGCCAGCTGAGCGCTCACTGTGGGGGTGTATGGCAAATGGATTTACTAGTTTGCCAACTCTAGTAAAGTGTTAGGAAATTGCAACAAAATTGTTTCTATGCAAACAATTGTTTAAGAAAGGGTCTTACATCAAATAATTGCAATTCATGGTGCTTTCTGAGTAACCATGAATCCAGAGACTAAATTAAAAATACTAGAAATTATTTTCCTTGGAATCATGCTGAATATTAAGATTGAGATTTTTCTTGCTTCCACAGCTCCCTTTCTTCCATCAGTCTTTTAACAAGCCAATATCACTTATTTTGTGTGTGTGTGTTGGGGGGAAAGATAGGGGGAAGAAGGGAAAGGGACTTTTGAGACAGCAGGGGGAGGGAGGTAGGTGGATTCAGAAATGGAGAGGTGGGAAGTCACTCAATTAAGTTCTACCACCTTCGTCTGTAAACAGGGATTGAAGACGGATGCTCGGACCTGCTCTGAGGGGTGATGCGCTTGCGACTTGAGAAAGCGCCACCTAAACTCCACTCTGCCTCCTCCCATTTGCATAAAACGGGTCATAGAAACACCCCATCCTTATGCTTTATCAGAACCACAGAAGGAATAATTATCTGAACTTACTCCCGGCGTTGTAGATTTTTTTCTGGAAAACTGGGTGAAGTCAAGTTCTTTGAATATTTTTCTCTCCTGAAAACCCGCAGGAGTTGTCACTTCCCAGAAGTCCTTGCACTCTTAAGATTCTTTAAAACTCAGTGAGGAATAAGAGCGCAAACGGCAACATTTTAAATTTAGGATCCTCTGGCTGAGAGAAGGTACCCAAAATAGTACAAATAGAATTCTGTAGTAACTTTGTCAAACTTCCAAAAACTTCATGTGTAGGAGGCAACAGAACGCCTCCAGGAGATCAGCGCTCTGTTTCCCGCAGCCCGTAACTTCAGGACCCCTATCGATTCGCCGCAACTTAGGCACAGCCTCCAATGGGGTTAAATCATCTTCACCGTTGAATTACCGAACGCTATTATAAGTGTCCCCATTTTACGGATGCAGTTGAGGCTATGGCTTAGTTGCCTTTGGTTCTCTTGATAGCCAGAGAGAAAGCGCGAGCGAGCGAGCGATTTTTCATCTTTTTAAAAAGAACTTTAACTTAAAACAACTCAAAATGAGTTTTTACTTCCAACGGCCGTGTTTCCTTTGGTCAAAACATGTGAACTTATCTGTAAAAGCAAGAAGCAAGACAAGTATTTTACTGTAAACTGGAACAACAGAGTCACTCCCCGACCCCCATCAGCCCAGTTCCCGAGCACTCGGTCACAGCGGACGCATCATTACGAGCGGAGGCCAGGAGAGCATCTGCGGGGGACGTAGTGAACCCCAAGCTGCTCTATCCGTAGGTGGAGTAAAGTGGGGGAAGGCGCCCCGCCTGCACACTCCTCCCAAAAACTGATGCGTCTTCTTTGACCCCGGGGTCAGAAAGATTTATTACTTCCTCGCTGAGGGAGAAGCCCCAGAGCAGCTGGAACGCGTGAGCCGGGAGTAGAAAGCCTGCAAGCGGCGCTCGGCATCCTCGGAGCCGGGTGAGTCCTGGGTTCCCAGAGGGGAGGGCGGTGCCGACGCCCAGGGCGAAGAGCGGAGTGGGCGGCCGCTTGGGGATTTCTGCCCTAACTTTATCACCAACTCCCTCTGAAAGCAAAAACGGGCGCCTAAGCCCGGCAGCCGCAAGGAGACTCCAAGTTTCTCAGAGCCCTGGGCGCCCGATCTCTCCGCACCCCGCTTCCGCGCCCAGGTGCTTGGGGACGGACTGCTACGGCCTCGGTCGTGTAGATGGCGGCCCGAGCGTCGTCGCGGTGAATCGAGCCCCGCATCTCCTGCCCCCAAGGCGGCGGAGGCGGCTGGAGCCCGATTCTTCAAGGGGGGCGGGCACGGGACGGGCGGAGGAGGAGGGCAGCGCGGCGAAGGGGAGGAGCCGCAGGGACGGACGGCCGCGCGCACCAACCCGGCGCAGGCTGGCAGCAGCCGCGCAGAGGCTGGCCGGAGCGCGTTGCAGCCGCTCAGCGTAGGGGGAGTCGGGTAGCAGCATCCTCCCGGGCGCTGCTTTCGCACGGCGGCGGCAGCGGCGGGGGCTCCCTCTGCCCCGATACCTCGTTGGCCAGAAGCGGCTGGTGCCGCGGGGGAGGGGGGGGGCGGGCCGGCAAGGGAGCGTTGCAGACTCCGTCTCCTTGGCCGATTGTTGTGTGTGTAGGGTCCTCCCGGGCCAGTAGGAGGCTGCGGAGCGGCGGGCGCTGCAGGCTATGCCGGCCCGGGCATCCTCCGAGTGATGGAAGAAGCAGCTGCTGCCGCTGCAGGGTCGCGCTGCACCCCATCCACCGCCGCCAGAGAGATGGGAAGATTCCGGGCGCGGAGGCCGAGAGCGAGAAAGGCGGAGCCGCTTTGCGGGGAGCTGAGTCCTGTATAAGCCCCCTCCCCCAGCCGGCTTCGCCCCCTGGAGCGAGGAAGGAAGCTGTGGTCTCGAGAGGGCGGCGGAGACACCGCTGGAGCTGGGCATGCTGGGCTCAGCAGAGCGCGGAGCAGGGTTCCAGGCCCGGTGAAAGTTTCCCTTCCCGAGCCGCAGGGCGCCCGCTGCCCGGAAACTGTCCAGGGCTTGGGCTGCCGAGTCCCGCGGCCCCCTCTAAGGCGAGGGGACTACCGGGCAAGACCGTGCGCGAGAAACCGAGGAACGAGTGACAGCGGGACAGACCATCCGGGCGTGATCCCGGGCGGCTCCGGGGCGCGCCCGCGGCACCAGGTGAGCGGGGGGAGCCCGGTAGACCCGCGGGTGGGCGTTACTTCGGTGGAGGAGGCGGATGGGGAGGAGGATTGGGGCGCATCGGCTTACTCCGCTTCTCCCTCGCAGGTCTTTATCGGAGCCGCTGCCATGGGAGAGCCAGCCTTGGGCGTCGGGGACCAGCCGCCGCTGCTGCCGCGTCCGCCTCGGAGCCGCGGCCCCAGTCTCCGCGCCCGAAGTCGGCCCGCTGCGTCCCCCTCCTGGGCTGCAGGGCCGCCTCCGCCGCGCCGCCGGCCCCGGCTGTGCCTGTGATGAGCCGCAGCCCGCCGCGAGCCCTGCCCCCGGGCGCGCCCCCCCGGTTGCTCCCGGCTGCGCCTGCCGCCGCACCGCGCGCCCTGCTCCCGCCGTGGCCCAGGCGCCCGGGCCGTCGCTGGCCCGCGTCCCCGCTCGGAATGAAGGTGTTCCGCAGGAAGGCGCTGGTGCTGTGCGCGGGCTATGCGCTGCTGTTGGTGCTCACCATGCTCAACCTCCTGGACTACAAGTGGCACAAGGAGCCGCTGCAGCAATGCAGCCCCGACGGGCTGCTGGGTGCCGCGGCTGGGGGCGGCTGGGCGCGCCCGGGGCAGCCTCCGGCTGTGCCGCCCCGCGCACACACCCGCTTGGACCCTCGTACTCCGTATCGTCCTCCTGCCGCCGCAGGCGTCGGGGTGGCCCCAGCCGCCGCCGCAGCAGCAGGGGCAGCGGGGGCCGTGGCCCCTCCTCGCAATGGCACTCGGGGCACCGGGGGTAGCGGAGAAAAGAGGCAGTTGGTGTATGTGTTCACCACGTGGCGCTCGGGCTCGTCTTTCTTCGGTGAGCTCTTCAACCAGAACCCCGAGGTGTTCTTTCTCTACGAGCCAGTGTGGCATGTATGGCAAAAACTGTACCCAGGGGACGCTGTTTCTCTTCAAGGGGCTGCGCGGGACATGCTGAGCGCTCTCTATCGCTGCGACCTCTCGGTCTTCCAGCTGTACAGCCCTGCGGGTAGCGGGGGGCGCAACCTCACCACGCTGGGCATTTTCGGGGCAGCCACCAACAAGGTGGTGTGCTCCTCGCCGCTGTGCCCAGCCTACCGCAAGGAGGTCGTGGGGCTGGTGGATGACCGCGTGTGCAAGAAGTGCCCGCCGCAGCGCCTGGCACGCTTTGAGGAGGAGTGCCGCAAGTACCGCACGCTGGTCATCAAGGGCGTGCGTGTCTTCGACGTGGCCGTGTTGGCGCCCCTGCTGCGCGACCCGGCCCTGGACCTCAAGGTCATCCACCTAGTGCGCGATCCGCGTGCTGTGGCCAGCTCACGCATCCGCTCGCGCCACGGGCTTATCCGCGAGAGCCTTCAGGTGGTGCGCAGCCGGGACCCGCGAGCCCACCGCATGCCCTTCCTGGAGGCCGCTGGCCACAAGCTGGGCGTCAAGAAGGAGGGCGTGGGCGGCCCGGCGGACTACCACGCGCTTGGCGCTATGGAGGTCATCTGCAACAGCATGGCCAAGACACTCCAGACGGCCCTGCAGCCCCCTGACTGGCTGCAAGGCCACTACCTGGTCGTGCGGTACGAGGACCTGGTGGGAGACCCCGTCAAGACCCTACGGAGGGTGTACGACTTTGTGGGGCTGCTGGTGAGCCCCGAAATGGAACAGTTTGCCCTCAACATGACCAGCGGCTCAGGCTCCTCCTCTAAGCCTTTCGTAGTGTCCGCGCGGAATGCCACGCAGGCCGCCAACGCCTGGCGGACGGCCCTCACCTTCCAGCAGATCAAACAGGTGGAGGAGTTTTGCTACCAGCCCATGGCCGTGCTGGGCTATGAGCGGGTCAATAGCCCCGAGGAGGTCAAAGACCTCAGTAAGACCCTGCTCCGGAAGCCCCGGCTCTGAGAGCGTTTCCTGGGAGAGCCGACTCCCGGTGGGGACGCCCACAGGAGGACTGTGGTGTATTTAAACAAAAACAGCCCAGACCCAAACTGAGGAAGCCCACATATTCTATTATAGATATATAATATAAATAACCACACAGGCACTTGCTGTCAATGTTTTGAGTCATTGAATTTCAAGGAACAGCCACAATATACACACATCTCAGCAAAGGCAAGACTTGAAAGTTCTGACCAGCTCCCCCACCCCCTCTCCCCTGCCTCTTCTCCTTTCCTTTTTCTCCCCTTTCCTACCCTCTCTCTTACCTGCCTTCCCTTTTGAAGTGGGATGTTGATTAAATCAAGATCCAGTAACTTAAATCTTGTTTACAAAATTTTCGTGGTATCTGTGAACATGTAAAAGTAATTTGGTTGTGAGGGGTGGGGGTGGAGAAAGGGGAAGTTGTCCAGGAGCGCAGAGCTCCATTGGATGATAAACCGAGGAGGCATTCTTCTAAAAGTAGACTTGTGTAAAAAGCAAAGGTTCTATGTGAGTATTAATAAAAAAGATAATAAATAATATTCTTTTTAATATTTGCCTCCATTACTTTGGATTGACCTGGGCTACTTCTCTTGTGTAGCTTCAGACAGACTTTGCTTCCTCTCCCCCCACCTCCTCTCCCCATTCTGTTTCCTAGAAAACTGCTAGGATGGGTGGGAACAGCTTCTGACTCCTTGATAAGAACCTTGGAGTAGTTTTCTCACATGTAAATCACAGCCTGTCAGGTGAGCAGGAGTGGGGACAAACCTTCGAATTCTAAAGGCAAACACCAAGCAGGGTGGTGGAGGGAAAACTCACACTACTTTCCTGTTCCACTTTGAGCACAGCAAGGAAGAAGCAGCCCTTGGGGCTTTGAAGGCATTCGGTTTTGATTACTGTTCAGTTAAGACTGGGGAACCCTGAAGCAGAGACATGTTTTGGTTCTGAGGTTAGTTCAGAAAAAGGACTTAAAAAAAAAAAAAAGGAATATAAGTAAAAAATTTCTGAGGATTAAAACACAGACCACAAAAATCAGCATGAATGTATTGTTGATGATAGCAGCAACTTCTTTGGTTAGAAAAATAACAAGTATATGTGTCTGGAGTGTTCTTCTGCCTGTGACCCAGTAAATGGAGGCATTCAAAAAGGGAAGTTTCACCTGAGAGCTATAAGGGCACTCACAGGCTTTTCCTTTTCTTTCTTGGTTCCCATTCAAATCAGTGCAAAACAGAATGTGAATTTGTCATGGCTTACGTGGGATGCCCACGAGGGTGCATTACTTTTCCTGACTGTGTTTCCTAAAAGTAAAATTGCAAAGAAGCTATAACATGTTACAGACAGCATAAGGCTTCAGTCAAGAGCTCCTTTTAGATAGGAAAATGAATTCTGGGAAAGAGGAAATGAAAATGAATTATGAGTAAGTGTGTTGGATTTTGAGATTTGGTATTTTCCAGGGAGAAAACCGTGCCAGTTTTCCTGCAATGGTGATGGTGTGCTGCTGTCCTGAGATTTCGACTGAAGCATTCTGTATTACAGTACGAAGTTTTAAACCCTAAGTAAGGAATGAGAGACAGTGTAGTTATATATTTCATTAGAGATGGTACGAGTTTGAGATTATCATGACTTTATTTTACTGTAATTTATTGTGAAATCTCTGCAGGCCAAGCTACGTTGGCTAAACGTGGGGGATCTGAAGGAAAATATGATGAAAAATAATATGTACATGGGAAAGATTTTAAGACAAGGTGATTCTTAAGTATAATTTTCATTACAATGTGAAATCTAACTACACTGTTGAGAGTTCAAGATAAAGAAGCACAGAAGTTAGAAAAACAGAGTTGTGTTTAGCAGTGGGTTTTCTAACATACTCTAGAATGACTAGTTCTTAATTTCCTAAAACAGTTTGTAGTATTGTGTTGTTTAAATCAGACGACAGCTATGATACATGGATCATGTTTTCTATGCTATTTTCACGGTAGCGCCTCTACCCAATTACCATCGGCAGCAACAGAAGATTTGTAATAGCTTTCATTGAAGAATACTAAAATTAAGTGAACAAAATAAATATTAATGTTGGACAACTATAGGTGAAACAGGTTTAACAGGAAATCAAGACCGCATCATTAAAAGGCAACCATTCTGAATAAAAAACCACGGAAAAACAAACTTCATGTGGCGTTAGAATCAGCTCTTATCACTTGATTACAGTAAAATTCATGCTTCATTTTTGAGTGAAGGATTTTTTAAACAGTGGAATTCATTTTTCTCTCAGTATATGTAAGGACTTGGTGTTAAAGTAGAATTTCGATGTGTTTGGATCTTGTATCTAAAAAAAAAAACCAAAAAAAAAAAAAACCAAAAAAACCAAAAAAACCCTGGATGCCACGTGGGGCCCTGGCAGCCGGCAGAGCACTCACGGCCTCCGCTCAGATGAAATTTTAAGCATCAACACCATTTGTCCCCTGGTGGTGTTTGAACGGGGTTTCTGCCCAATACCCTTGTTTGTAGCAGATGCTTGCTCTCCACTCTGCCGCTCTGTCATTGGAAAAGGTGAATTGTGGCTCCTGGAGATGTGTACCTAGCTGCATTCTAGGAAAGCAAGACAGGTGTAGTTCCCACCAACAGCCGAGACAGTCCTATCAGTGACATTCAGCTTCCACGGGTCGGATAAGGGGAGAAGGTTTTTTGGTGTTCATAAGCTCCTGTCAGCTTCCAGTGCAAGCAGACCTGGGCCCCGGCAAACCGCACCCGAGACTGTGACCGTTTCTGAGGCAGCAGCCGTAAAGGCAATGCTTTTCCATGTCCCAGCTTGGCAGAATGTCCATCAGCAGGAGGAAATATTCTTCAGAGCAGGTTATCGGAGTGATTTTTATTTTCAAATTCTGCTCAGCTGATAGTACGCCTGACTGCCCCCTTTGACTTTGGAATGCCTTTGTTAATTAGAAAGCTCTATTTATAAAACGTAGTCTACCTGGTGCATCTAGTCAACAAATAAGAGTTTGGAACAAGGCAGTGGCACTGGCTGGGTACTTGAATTTCAGGGAGCTCAGAGGCACTCAAAGGCCTCATTCAGACTGACCCGTGGGCACCTTTGCAGGCAGGGACTGGGGCAAATCCTGTACCCGTCAGTGTCCACGGCGTAGTGAGTCCTTGATAAACGCTTGGTAAGTAAGTGAATGAAATAGTGAACTGTCGAAATTTTAAAGCGCTCAGAAGGGAAAGAGTGAAAGAATGTGTTCCCTGTTTGGAGAAATTGCTAGGCTGTTCACTGAAGTTTGCTGGAGGAAGGGGGCCTTGGGCTCTGTTTCGATGTGGGGAGCGGGCAACAGGAACGTCTTCAAGATTTCCTGAGTGCCCGGGTATAGGCTAATATTTCCCGCAGAGGAATTAGAAACAAAAATTCAGAGTTTCTGAATGTGGAGAAGTAAAAATTTCTAGATGAGGGATTTGACATTCATTACTTGTTTTCCCAATTGTATGAACAAGAGAATGGAGGGTCAAAGCTACCTGTGGAACAAATGCTGCCTTGGTACCTAAGGGAGGACTGTATAGTTGTAATATATATTTATTATTTTGAGGGCTTTGAATGAGCAGTTTAACGGACCACGAGGTGGATTTCACCCAGGCAGAGGAATAGTTATTTTCAGGAAGTTCGGCCTCTTGTGGATGCTGAATGAGACAATGGTGGCCTGTCCCCATGCATCCCTGCCTGGCTCTGGCCAGTCCTGTCCAGGATTTCTGTTGTGTACGGTGTAGTTGCGGCTGGATTATGCTGTCGGTTTGAAATTAATGTGAATCTGAGAGAGGCTGTTAATGAATATTCCCCGGGTCTCAGCAATGAAATAAAGATCATGTTTGAAACCTTGTCTCTAGAGATGACTTCAGAAAGACCAAGAGGGAAATAAAAAGGCACGTCTTATCTGTAGCTGTGAAGAAGGCTGAGTTGTCACTACCACCCGCCCCCACCTGTCTTCCCTCCCTCTGCACGACAGCACCCCCCCCCCAGATGCTGCACTGTCTTCAAGTCTGGAAAAGAAAATGTTTTAATGCCCGCTGAAAGGTATGTGGGGAGGGATACTTTTGATTTCAGACCTCGGGAGAGTAAGTGCCGATGAGTCTATCACAGCCTATGACAGTTCTGTGTCAGGATCCAGTGTGGACAGGCAGTAAATGACAATCGCGATGTGAGGAATGGCCTGAGCTGTGTGAGGGGATGGCTTGAGGTAAACGCACCGTTTATAGACCCCTTTGTCACTCACCTTGAGGCTGTTCAAAACTGTCACAGGAAGAACATAATTTGCTCATATCCTTTCCCTCCTTTCTGGACATCCCAGCTGCTACTTTTGCAGTTCAGGTTCACAGCCGCTCGGCTGCTTGGGTACCGGATCTCGTACAAGTGTTTAATAATTGAAATTACAGGGCTTGACTTTTATTACGGCTGATGCAATTCTGCACACGCTTAATCCAATTATGCTAAGGAAACTGTTAAATCCTGAATAACACGTTAAGTTTATAGAATGGGAAACTTTATGAACCAGGGTTTGGAGGAGGTATTGTTTGTAAACTTGAAGGAGCCTTGAAGGAGTAGGAGCCTATCCGCAGACTTGGCAGGATGATAAAGAATGATCGAGTATGGCCAAGGCCAAGCTTAACTTTTGGTCGAACCGGTTATCTGTAATCAGATGTCAAAAATTGTCTGGGGGCTGCTCGAGCTTTGCAGGTTTGTGATAGTAACCCTGCCATGTGAATGGTGATTGAAAGTGACTCCCATTTTGGATGTCTAGGCAGGGCTTGACAGAAACGCACCTCTTAGACCGGACCAGCTATGTAATTTGTGGAGCTCAGTGCAAAATGAAAGGGTGGAGCCCCTTGTTAAAAAACCTTTTAACCTTTCAATTCTGCAATAGCAAAGAATTAAGCCAAGCACAGCATCCTTCTGTGTGTGGGGCCAGCCCGCTGTACAGGTTGTATGCCGTGGAGGTGCTCCCAGATCCGTGTGCGGAGACTGAAATGCCAAACCAGGGGAGAGAGCAGCTAATGGTGGCCCTCAAGTTCCTGGGAAGTGGGTGCAAAGGTAGGGGTTATTGTGTGAACCGTAATTAACGCAGAGATATCCTAGCCAGACAAATGCGCTTTGAGCAATGGAATTCTAAGGAGGTGCACAGACACAGGACACATGATCCTTAGGAACTGCAGCAAGTGATGGACAAGCCCCTCTGAGTCATCAGCTGGGCTTGAGAATGCTTCAGACTGAGTGTTCTCAAGACTGGTCAGGCGCAAGACAGGTTGTGTTGTTGTGGGAATCCTTAGAAGAACAGGTTATTCGTCTTCCATGAGGATGGTGGGCATGCCCTCCTTGTCCTTGGCAGGTGGATACTGGTGAGTCCCGCTAATGACCATGTTCTCTTCCTTCTGGAACTACCGTGGGACTCTGTATTTGCTTTGTGTATAGTAGAGAGGGAAAGTTTACGTATGGAAGAGCAGAAGGTCAAGTCACAATAAACTCAAGGAGTAAAAGTGCAAGATGTCACTAAGCCAACTGGTATACCTCCTCATTGTGCTAAGTATAGTTGGCTACGTTTATTTTTATAATAGTTGTGATACATCCCATTTTCCTCTGGGTAGCAGTTCTCCACTCTCTTCACCTCCTGCCTCCCATTTCTTCTCTGCTTTGTGAGTTCCTACTCATTATTGAAGATCCTGGATCTTTCCGAAGGTTTTATTTATTGGCCCTGCTCTAAGATGCAGAAGTGTCTTTCTGTCCCCTCCTTCCCCTACTGCCATGAGCATGGATCTATCGGTGGGAGCCAGTGCAGACCGAGACTGGTTCATAGCCTACTTCCTCTCCTAGTCTAGATTCTTCAGGATCTCTTGTGTGTGTGTGTATCTCCCCAGCACGGAAGCAGTGTCTTGCTCACAGGTCTGTAGTAAGTGAGTGTGAAATAGAAGACGTGGCCCAAGAAGACAGAGCAGAAGGGATTGAGGGGCAGACACTTTGTCCAAGAGACTTTAAAATAGTATGCGACATTCCACGATGTCTTGAACTCTTCAAATGTGTGGCATCTAGAAGCTGAAAAAGAAGGCAAAATAATACCGACAAAAGGAACATACCAAATCATGCAGATGGAAGGCCTCCAATGTGATCCTTCCTTGTTAGTGTTTGAAACAGAGAAACAATAATGGAGCCCCACCCCACCAAAGAAAAGTAAAACTGAACTGCAGTCCAACGGAAATGATACAATGTTTAAAGAGCCCACTAGGAAAATGTGTTATTGTAAAGGAGGCTGAGGCTGTGTATTTTCTTTTTTTTTTTAAGATTTAAAAAAAATTTATTTATTTGACAGACAGAGATCCACAAGTAGGCAGAGAGGCAGGCAGTGGGGCGGGGAAACAGGCTCCCCACTGAGCAGACAGCCTGATGTGGGGCTCGATCCCAGGACCCTGAGACCATGACCTGAGCCGAAGGCAGAGGCTTAACCCACTGAGCCACGTAGGTGCCCCATGTGTATCTGTTTTTGACGTATGGAGCTCACCTCTGCTGTGATTCTCTTTTAACCTTTCCAGGGACTGGAAGTTTTCGAGAAACAACATGGAGGTCTAAATATTCCATTTCCATTTTCAGATGTCCCAGTTACTCTGGCAAACTCTTATTCTCTCTAGGGCCGAATGAGCTCCTGGGAGGAATTAAGACATTTGATGTCCTCATATTGGTGTTCAGTATCTTTAGATGAAGGAGGGTATTATGTTATTCCTTTTTCAAAGAAAAATAGAAATGAAACACATTTTCTTTCTGAAACAACAGCATCACATTTATAGCTTTTAGCCCTGTTATTTAACCAGCCCTACTTGCTAGTGAGACCAGTATCCTTCCTAGGACGTGAGTTCCAAGTACACTTTATTTAGGTTAAGTCTTTGTTGCACATGATTTTTCATTTATATTTCCACACTCCTCAAGTGCCTTCTTGATGTGCTGTGCTCTTTATAACTTGCTATCACCATTTTAATTTCACTGTCAAGTGCCGTAAGTAGCAGTAACGATGGTAATAATCATAATACCATCATTTACCCTTTGTAGATCATTTGTTATTTGCCAGTCACTGTGCACAGCACTGTTTATGTATGTTTCTATTTTATTCTCACCACAATCCTATGGAATAAGTATTACTATTGTCCCTATTTTATAGAAGAACAATATAGGTTTAGATGGGTCCTTTTCCTTAGGTCACACAGCTAGTAAGTGAAAAGGCCCCTTTCTTTTTGCGTGGTAGATCAGAGAACCCTCTGTTCCATTAAGGGATACCAACAAAATAGCAAGTCTTTTTGTCCCAGCCAAATGCTTTTGGAGAAATACCTCCTGAATGCTTGAGGCATTATGCCTTCAGCCAAAGAACAGGTGTTATCCCTATCTTTAGAGATGCATTTTTATGCAGCAGAAAGAGAAAGGTTAACTGTTGGTTTAAGTGCTGTTGGACAAAATTCCTCTTAGAATGGCCTTTGTTGGCCAAACAAGAAACAGGCCCTTTAGAGGGTGGGAAGGAGACACCTGGAAAGGACATTTGGAGGTTGAGGGAGAAAGAGTAAACGGAGAAGGGAGAGGTAAAAGGTGGGATGACTGGGGATAAGCAACGTGACAGGGCGCTCAAGAGGCTGGAGCCCAAGGAAGGGACACGGCCTTGACACTCCCAAGAAGAGAATGGCTAGGGGGCAGGAAGATTGATGTTCAGCGTGGCATTGTTTGGCCCACTGAGCTGTGCTGGAGCTGCCTCTGTTGCCCAGACCTCCAGTAAAGGCTGCTTCATGCCTCATCCTGGGCAGCTGGGGATTGCAGGCGGAAGGGATCAGAGTAGTGCCAGCTAGCATGGCATGGGGCAAGAAACCACAGCAGGTGAAATGCAGAGAAGCAATAGAAAATTCTGTAGTCCACCCTAGAAGTGTTGACTTACTCAGGGAGCCCCTGGGGGAGTTTAGAAGGGAGGGGGATTTCTTTCCAAGGGTGAGATGGGGCTTCTAGGCAATCTAATGTAAATTATAAAAGACAAGGTAGGCAGAGCAGGACTCAAGGAGGGAGAATGTCAGGAGGCTGATACATAGGGCTTGTTAACTGTTCAAGAGTAAGAACTCAGTGGGTATGTGGAGACCTAGCAAAGTGAGGAAGTGTTGGTATCTTATAAAAACTGATGTGAGTCAGCTCAGTCATTTCCAAGTGTGGACACTGAGGTTCAGAGAGACCGTGAGCTGTGCTCTGTGTCCCCAGTTGGGGGAAGAGCACAAACTAGAAATCACAGCTCCTGATTCCCAACCGGGGGCTCTCTGACATATTCGCACCCTAGGACTTTTTATTTTCTTGGGTCCTACCAGTCTTTTGACCACTCCAGTAGTTCTCAATATCTCTGTTGAGTGTCTGGGGATCAGAGAAGTGTCCTTTGGGGTTCTGGTCAAGTTTTAGTAGGAGATGTGGTTGAAACCAAAGCAGATGGTTGAGTTTCTGGGTGGTTTGAAAAAGTTATTCTGTTGGGCATCGGTCAAGGTTCTTTGGTTGCAAAACTGACTCATCTACTGGGAAAGGTGTGCGGAGTCCACAGAATTGAAGAACAGCGAAGGAGCAAGGCTGGACACTTTGGTGTCCTCTCCTCTCCCCTCCCCTCCCCTTCCCACCTCTCTCCTCTCTCACCCTTTCTTTCTCTTCTCCCTCCCTCCTTCCCTCCCTCCCTCCCTCCCTTCCCTCCTGCAACCCTTTCTTTCTTCTTTCCTTTTTCCCTCTCTCCCTCCCTCCTTCCCTCCCTCCCTCCCTTCTTTGCCTTGCTTCACACATTCAATATTCAAAGCACTGGACGAGAGAGTTGCATTGGCTGAGG